AGTTAGTAACACAATTTGATTTCTCAGGCATAACTGGCCAAATCATTATTCTGAACCTCCACTTCTCACTGAAAAAATCAAGCACACTTTAAGCTTGATCAGTGATTCTCAATCATGTGACTATGTGTCCTTCAAACAAAATGATGACCAGGATCCACCTCCAGAGAATATGATTTATTTGGTCTGGGGTAACCCTGTGCGCTGCTTTTTGTTTTCTTTCCAAACATCAGGTGCACTGTGAAAACCAGTGGACTAAAAATGATTGCCAAATTCCTTTTTATTTAAATATACATATTTATTCATTTAATAGACACTATGTACAAGGCACTATACAAGTTGCAATGTTGGACCTCAATGATGAATAATTTATCTTGAATCTCAATAATCTGTGCTTTAGTGGAAAAAAATAAGCAAATGACCACAGTTCTACAGAGCAGGGCTTGGCTATGAATGGGTAAAATGGAAAGAAGGAAAATCTTACAATGAGAGAAACTCACATGAGCAAACTTGCAGAAGGTGCAAGTAATGGATGAAATCAAAACAACACAGAATCCAGGATCACCAGAAGGTAGGACGGCCTTGTGTGTCTTGTGGTCATGGATAGTAAGGCTGCAAAGGTAGACTGAGTCAGAATCTTCAATCCTAGTTTAGGAAAATTAGTTTCTTTGGTTTTTGTACATCAGAGTAATAAGGGCTCTGAAATTAGGCTACCTGAGTTTATGTATCAAATTTACTATTTATTGGCTATGTGTCCTGGGCAATCTATTTAAAATCTTTATGCCCTATTTGTAAAATGGAAATAATAAGAACACCTACATAGGTTACTGTAAAAACTCGGTGAGCTAACAAATGTAAAAAGCTTACAGAAGTTCCTAACACAGAGTAAACTCTCAATGCACAGTGGTTAGTAATTATTATAAGCGATTATCAGACACTGGCGAACCACTAAAGATTTTTGAACAGAGATCTGACATGATCAGAACTATAAACTGAGTCTGTGAAAAAAAATCATTCTGGGGGTGCCTGGGTGGCTCAGTCGGTTAAGTGTCTGACTCCTGGTTTCAGTTCAGGTCACAATCTCATGGTTCCGTGGGTTCCAGCCTTACGTTGGGCTCTGCGCTGGCAGCACAGAGCCTGCTTGGGATTCTCTGTCTCCCTCTCTCTCTACCCCTCTCCCATTTGCTGTCTCTCTCTCTCTCTCTCTCTCACAAAAATAAAAAAAATTTTAAGTAATAAAAAAAAAATGATACTTAAGCATGATACGAGTATGCAGAAACATCCGTAACAAATACTGAAAGGAAAATGTATTAAAGACAGTGTATTCACATTTTTAATGTCTGTCAGCCACCTGCTCCCAGCTTCCTTTGCAAGAGTTCTCAGAAAACTGGTAGTATCCGTGCAGATTCCTTACTGAGTAATGCCCAAGACATGAGAGGAACTAGTCATTCTGAGTTCTCTGGACAGCGAATATTAAGTTTGGATGGCAGATCTGAAGTCTTCTCATAGAAACTTTTCCAACTTCTAAGTGTACACGGCACAACTAAACCTATCTTATGATGACTCAAACTCCTTACGAATAGCTGCTGTACTATGCTTCACATGAGGATGTGATCTGCAGGCCAGCCCCAGCTGCAGTCTTCGACTTGAACATTTTCTCATTTTACCTTGATCAGGAAGTTCAGAGGTCACACTACACACGTGTATCTCCTCAGAGCCATCTCCAGTGTGTGCAGCAGAGCTGCTCTGGGCCCCAGGGAGCATCCGTCTTATGCTCCCCTTCCCTTTGCACAGCTTTCTGGCTTTCTCCTCCTTCCAGGATAGATTTTCTCCTCCCCATCAGCGGGCCCTGCACTGTCCCCACTCACCTGTGCAGCACACTAACACCTTCTGCAACCTCTACCATTTCTCCAGCCGCTAGTCCTAGCTCTCTAACAACATCCCCTCACAATATTCCTTACAGGAAGCTGGGAAAGGATATTTCAATTTCAAAACAGAGCTACTCATCAATAACAAAAGGACCAATTAATTACTGAATTTGCATTCCCTGCGTTTGCACCTTTCATGACTCAAGGCTATCAAAAGTTCAGTCAACTGACTTCGGTCAGGTCATGTCACGGTTCCTGAGTTCCAGTCCCACATCAGGCTGTCTGCTGTCACCTCACAGCCTGTTTCCAATCCTCTTTCTCTCTGCCCCTCCCCACTCCCCCCTCTCTAAAATAAACATTAAAAAAGAGAAAGTTTGGTCTTGAGATAATGGAAGTGGTGCTTCTGCAAGTCTACTGCATGGTAAATGGGAGTCTAGAGCTAAGCCAACAAACTGCAGGTTCCCTCTTGCTTGCCATGTACTGTGAGGCTGGCCGCTTAAATGCGGCCTCCCAGCCCCTACACTGATCTCATTGGGCTACTGGGAGAATTAAACAATGTACATGAAAACAGGTGCCTGGGTGGCTAAGTCAGTTAAGCGTCAGACTCCTGGTTTCAGCTCAGGTCATAACCTCATGGTTCATGGGATCAAGCCCCACGTCAGGCTCTGTGCCAACAGTAGGGCGCCTGCTTGGGATTCTCTCTCTGCTCCCTCTCCTGGTTGAACACACACGCGCTCTCTCAAAAAATAAATAAACTTTAAGAATAAAATACATGAGGGGCGCCTGGGTGGCGCAGTCGGTTAAGCGTCCGACTTCAGCCAGGTCACGATCTCGCGGTCCGTGAGTTCGAGCCCCGCGTCGGGCTCTGGGCTGATGGCTCAGAGCCTGGAGCCTGTTTCCGATTCTGTGTCTCCCTCTCTCTCTGCCCCTCCCCCGTTCATGCTCTGTCTCTCTCTGTCCCAAAAATAAATAACATTGAAAAAAAAATTAAAAAAAAAATAAAATAAAATACATGAAAACAAAGTTCAAATCCCTATACCAATGTAAATTTTCGTCTCAGACTTTTCTCCGTCAAACTATTTGGGGGAAGCAAGGCCCCTGATACAGTAAAAGAATACCAGAAGACTCCATACTCAAAAATTCTCCCCCACATATATTACACCAATTAGACATTCATTTTGATAAACAAGCTCCTCTTTCAAATATCTCCTGGTAGAGCTAACCCTATTGTTCATTCATGCTTTTGCATACTGCTCTGGTATTATAGGATTTGACATAGCTTGCCTTGTATTTTGACTTAACTCGGCAACTAGACCAGAGATTCTCAAAAGGGAAGAGTAAAATTCTCCAGCAGCTGTGCTTTGAAATGTCATGTCCAATATTACAAATTTTTATCGGGTGGGGATGGGAAGGGTCTCATTGCCTTTGTTTTGTAACCTTTGGTAAATAAATATCCACAAAATCTTAGAAACAGGACAGGTGGAAAGGACCAGAAATAGTTAAATCTCCGTGAATGGACCAAAAGGAAATTAGGTTTTACAAATGCCAATCTACTATGTACAGAGCATTTGACATACTTCCTCTGACTTCATAAAAACCTCAAAACAGCTCTGTGAACAAAGTTATTCTTATGGATGAGGAAAACAGCACTCTGACGACTGAATGTGACTACCTTTTTGAAAAGAACTGAGAAAAGAGAGAAAAGGCACTGACCCAACAGAGATTAGACTCCTACTTTCAAATGCCTATTCTTCCCTGAATCTTTATCCTTTCCACCCGCAAGGATATCGCAGAATGCGTTTCTGTACGTCCTTCCCTAATCTGAAAGGACTTCCATACCAAGCTCAAATTCTAAGGTGGGCGGGGATGAAGAGAAGGTAATTGCAATTAACTTATATCTCTAAAGTGAAGAACTGAGGTATTTAAAATGGATTACAGTAGTTTCCCCCTATTCGAGGTTTCACTCTTGTGATTTCAGTTACCCAAGGTCAACTGAGTCTGGAAACAAATAATCTTCCTTCTGACCTACAGTCAGAAGGTCAATAGCAGCCAAACTAAGTCACAATGCCTAGGTCATGCACCTCACATCATCTCACCACACAGGCATTTTATCAGCTCACATCATCACAAGAAGAGTGAGTACAGGACAATAAGGTATTTTGAGAAAGACCACATTCACACAACTTTTATTACAGTGTATTGTTATATTTGTTCTCTTATTAGCTAGTATTAATACCTCACTAATTTATAAGCCCTCATAAGAAAAAACAGCATGTATAGGGTTCAGTGCTATCCGTCGTTTCAGGCATCCACAGGGGGTCTGGGAACATACCCTCCCACACACCCACAAGTACGGAGGGATAAGCTACTGTAGCTTAGTCTAGGACACCGAACAGACTACCCCAACATCCTTGTTAGCAAGCTAAAACAAAAGACAATAGCAAAAAAAAAAAAAAAAAAGGAAACAAAAACCAAAACGGGAGGGGGAATGAAAGTACTAGGAATACAAGTGTAGATCATTATCAATAGTTAAGCAACAGAAAAGTATTGACAAATGTTAAAATTATTCTAATTCTTAAAAGGCAATTTTAATTCAAAACCACTGTTGGGAGTCATCCGTTACTGCTCGTTAGTGGGAAATAAATCTACGGCACTTCGTCGGGAATTGATGGTAGGACTCCCAACACTTCCTAGCAGACCCAACTCCCTACCACCCTCCTCCCGTCTTAGCCTAAGTGGCAGCCTGAGCTAAAGACTGGAGGACTGCCTTGTCGTCAGTGCTGCTTTTAAAAACGATTCTAGGTGAAAACTCCTGAAGAACGAACTCTTAGGGAGTGTAGAACGCACACAGCTTGAGTGAAATCCCCTAGACAGAGTGCAGGGCTTAAGGAAGCTACAAAAACCGGGCCCCCACTGTCGATTTCGCCCGGATTCTTTTTTGTTTTGTTTTAATCTGCCTGGGGCAGCAGCATAGGTTGGAAGGCGGAGACTGGAATCGCCTGCCAAGCCTGGGCTCTCGGTCACAGAGGCAGCGCCTCCCGGTTCACGCCAAGTCCATCCCCCACCTTCTTTCGCCATTCATGGCCTTCCCCTCCCCTCCCCCCATCATGTGACCGCAGCCTGGACTCCAGGCTTGTTTTTCCCCTCAGCTCAGCCGCACCGCGCAGGCGCCTCGGAGCCCATTCATTCGAAATGCGTAACAATGAGCCCCGGGGCCCAGCGGCTCCGCGAGCTTCCCAGCTCGGCCCGAGCCCCTCTCGGCCCCCAGTGGAGGCGGCGCCTCATTGGGGTCCCCCACCCCCGGCCGGCCACCCACTCGGGACCAACCTCCGACCCTCCGCCCACACTCGCGGAGTTGAAGTCAAACTTTCCTGGGCAGCCCCGGCGCCGCGTCGGCCCCTTCCCCCGCCCAGGCCCGCCCCATCTCCGCACCCGGCCGGGCCACCCACCGCGCAACCCGGCCCAGAGCGCCGACCTCGCCGACTCCTCCCAGCCCCGGCCCCAGAGACCCCCCTCGGGCCGCGCCGCCGCGAAGCCCAGGTGAGCTCGCGGGAGGTGCCGGTCCGGTGGGTTCGCCGCGGGCAGTTACCGGACGGTTGATTGCTTCCACTGTGAGGGCAGCCCTTCGCACAAGAGGAGCGCGGACCAGAGCTCGCCCGGCCGCCCGGTCCCCTCGGGATCCTGCCCCTCCCTTCCCCACCCCCACCCCTTCCCGAACTGAAAGACAACAAACCAGCCGCGGAGTGAGGGCAGCCCCGGCGCGGGCCGCCCTGGACACGACAACACCACCAGCCGCTTGTATATCCCCTCTCCGACTGACGCCGGTCTCCCTGGCGCGCCTTAGTACTCCCGTCGCCTCTCTTATTCCTCCACCGAAACTTTCCTACTTACCAAACCCGTCGCCATTACCAAGTCTTTCAAGCTTCGTCTTCCCCCTCCCTCAACCCCCCGGGGGCTGAGCCTTCGCCCCGCTCTTTCGCCCTCTTATTGGTCCACGGAACTGCCATTCGATCATTCCCCTTTCCCATTGGGTGATACCGTGGTCCGTCTCGGGAGGCGGGCTTGTATTGACTTTTGTGTTGTGTTTACTGGAGAAGACGGCGTGTCAATCACTGGAGTGAGCGCTTCGGATTGGATTGCTGCCGAGACTTCGGGGACCTAAGCCAAACTTTGCCCCCGAAATGGATTGTGGGATTCGTAGTCTCAGCCTTGCTCTGTTCTTCTGGGAAACTGCAGGAGAGAGAAACTAGTTGGACTACGTATCCCAGAAGGGCGTGCACAGCGCTGTCTTGATAGTAAACAAGAGTCATAGGGACACGTGTATCAGCTCGTTTGTTTTGGTGTCTGGGACAAAAGGGAGGGGGCGGAGGAAGCGAGTGTTTTAAAGCTTTGGCCTCTTCTCTTCCTCTGGGCCTCTCCTAGCACTCGGAGAGCCCCAGTCTCTCGCAGCACCCATTTCGGGCCATAAACAGGCAGAGTCGCTCGCTGCTCAAAGTTTGGCAGGAGGCCAAGGTATTGTTTTAGTGCGAGGGGAAGGAGATGACTGCACAGGCGGAAGCAGTGCAGCCTCGCGAGGGACCAAGCCACCCACAAATCACAGCCCCAGGCATTATGGGGAGAATAAAGGTGGTATCGGGCTCCAGTGGGAAGAACTAGAATTTCTTTATCACGACCCTTTCCTGGCCACCCCCCGGACAGCAACTTGAGAGGGTTTCTTTGCCAGCTCTGATCAGTTCACCCAAGATTTGTTGAATGCTGGCTGTATGCCAGGCACTGAAAGGCTTGGGGACTAACAGAGAAAAGTTCAGGGTCTGGAGAATTTATAAAGCTGTAAGGGGGTGGATGATTACTATTGACTTAGAAATTGAGGCAACCCAAAGCGGTATTTTCCATGTTGACCAGCTTGCTCGTTAAGGTAATAGAGGCGTAACGTGTGACCTAAACTGAATTTGTGAATCATCCAAGCTTCCCTGGTAAGTTTTTGTTAACCAGTGTTTTCCTCCAGACGACTTCCCATTGATGAAAGAAAAATGTCTTTCCACTTCGTTGCCACTAGGAGTTCCTCCTTAAGTTACTAATACTCTGACTCACCAGAGGAGGATGGCTTCCCTGGCTTTATAGTTAACTTCACTTTAAACATGGCTGGCCATCACAGTCCACGGAGTCTATAATTGTTTTTACCATTAACATTCAAAAGGCATTATTAAGGTTTTTTTCCTTTGAACTTTTAGTGTTTAATCATTTAAGCTATGCTTCAGGTTTTATATCTTTAGATCACTGTATGCATGCTTAGAATTAAGAGGAAAACTTACATTAGTTAGAAATCTATAAAGTCAAACCACTGAAAAGAGCCCTTAACCGTAACTGATTATTCCTTTAAACACTACCCCCCCCCCACATTTCTTTAAGTTTGTTTTTTTTTTTAATTTTTTAATGTTTATTCTTGAGAGAAAGAAGAGGGGAGGGGGTGGGGCAGAGAGAGGGAGACACAGAGTCCAAAGCAGGCTCCAGACTGAGAGCTCTCAGCACAAAGCCCAATATGGGGCTCAAAGTCACAAACCACAAGATCATGACCTGATCTGAAGTCAGAAGTTTAACCAACTGAGCCACCCAGGCACCCTGCATTTCTCGAATTTTTAAATCTGCCTGAAAGCCACAATGAATCAAGAAATCCCAAATAACTCTCATGGTGAAAAAAGTTTTACAGTTCTTTTAGGGGTTCCCTGTTGGAAGCCTTGAAATGAAATTATTTTAAAATAGTTCTGTCTACCCTATGATCAAAGATTTATGTTCTTGTATTCACAAATAGTAACTTTTTTTCCTAAAAATAATTGAGGGCCAGCAAAACACCTAAATTTTTCACTGAGAAGAAAGGACAGGGTTTGAACTTACTATCTTTCAGAGATAATAGAGGGATCCAAAAAAGAACTAGACTGTGACCCTGCCTTTTTCTTTTTTCTTCCTTTTTTTCTCCTTGCAGTGGCGGGTTGCTGTATCTCTGCAGTGTTTCATTTTTTGACAAAAAGAGAAATCGTGGAATTTACCTAATCGTTTAAAATTAAAATTTGAAGTATTTATGTCTTACTCCCACAAGGAAACTGAAAATCAGCTTTCCTTCCCCCAAAAATGAGCTTTGAAAAGCCTGAGCCACTCCTTACCCCTATTCGTTGCATAAACCATGAGGTCTGTTTTTAGCTGAACCTTACCTTATTTTAAAAGGTTTTCTATCCAATGGGGCACCTGGGTGGCTCAGTTGGTTAAGTGGCTCAGTTGGTTAAGACTGTTGATTTCAGCTCAGGTCATGATCTTGTGGTTTGTGAGACTGAGCCTAGCATTTTTGCTCAGTGCTCAGAACTGAGCTTGCTTGGGATTCTCTCTGCCCCTCCCCTGCTCGTGCTTTCTGTCTCTCTCTCAAAATAAATTAAATAAATAAATGGTTTTCTATCTGAAAGTTCTTACCAAAAGCTTTACTGGAGATGTTTTGATCGGTGAACACAGTGATGGGAAGAATAATTTCAACTTCAGATCAAGATTTTTTACATTATTATAAATAATTACCTTTTAATAGTCCTGTAAAGTTTTTTTTTCATTCACTCATTCAGAAATATTTAGTTCCTATTATTTGCTGACCACTTTGCCAATTGATGAGCCTACAAAGATAGGAAATTTTTTCACATACTTTCATTTTTGTCTAAGTCACTGGGGACTAAAATTCTGACATTTCAGTCACAACTGATTAAGTATCAGTATTAGAATCTCTACACCTCTGGGGCAACTGCAGGGCTCAGTCAGTTAAATGTCCAACTCTGGATCTCTCAGCTCAGGTCTTGATCTCAGGGTCATGAGTTCAAGCCCAGTGTTGGGCTCTCCACTGAGCATGAAGCCTACTTAAAAAAAAAAAATCTCTACACCTTTAAGGTGAATAATTAGTTCTGTCTTTTGACTTTCCTGGGAAGCTAAATGACCATAGTAGTACCTCATATATATTTAACAGGAACATCATCATTAATTCTTGGTGACCAATAAAACCAACCAACTCATAACCCAGAACAAAGATCAAAGTAAAAAAACTAGTAAGATCTTGAAAATATATGTAAATTCTACTCTTTCACTAAAACAGATACAATTAAAGAACACATAATAAACTATGCCAAGAAGTTGTCATTTAAAATCAAAATGTCTTTCCAGCAGTTTGTAAAATACTTGTTTTCATAAAAAAAAACATGAAGTGCTGATTTGTTAAGAAGATTTATCTTTTTTTTTTTTACTACCTTTAACCATAACTTTACTACCTAAAGTAGTATTATAAGGTAGTAGTACTACTTTACTACCTAATTTAAGAATTTAACAACGTATTTGCCTCAATTCCACTACATTTGGCACACCAATGACTACTTTGCTGGACTAAGAAAGATTAAGTTCAAGTACAGGGCATTGTTTACATATTGAGAATATCGCTGTTCAAATTGTTAAAAAGGAAATGAACATTTAGAAGGCTCAAAACACTTACATGAATCGACAGTTGAGCAAAATCACCTCCCACCAAGGGAGGTGTTTTTTATAATCAAGTGTTGACTATCTCATGCATTTTATTGAATACTGTCCTGAAAGTGAGAAATAGAATGGCTGTTACTGTATGGTTTGTGGACCCTCATAACCAGATGTGGGTGACTGGGAGCTGTGGCTGGCTGCCCTACCCAGGGTCATGAGAGAGGATCTCCCTGCACACTGCTAGCCTGCGAAAAGATCAGAATTCAAAGTACAGTTTCTACTGAGTGCACATTGCTTTTGCACCATCATATAGTCAAAAAATTGTGAGTCAAACCACATGGGACCATCTGTACTAAAACTAGGAAGTGGAACACATGTATGATCTAAAATAGTGCCCCAAATTTTCAGATAGTTTCTCTCTTGGTAGATTATTTAAACTCTTAGAAATAGCCTTCCATATCCACTATACACTAAAACAAATTAATTTTAGGGGTGCCTGGGTAGCTCAGTCGGTTGAGCATCTAACTCTTGATTTCGGCTCATGTCATGATCCCAGGGTCATGGGATCAAGTTCCACGTTGGGCTCTATGCTGAGCGTGGAGCCTGCTTAAGATTCTTTCCTCCTCCCCCAATGTGTGAGCTTTCTTTCTCTCAAAAAAAAAAAAAAAAGAATAATAATTTTATAATTCCAAGTACTCAGGTACACTCAAATTGTAAGGAAATGCCTGGGAGCCTATGAGTGCCATTTTAGAAAGGAGTAGTATGTCTGTTGTGCTTGTAATTCTTGATTCAACTATGAGTTTAAATTATACTCAGATGACCATAAAGCAAGACCTTTCTTCAGTGTAAGTGAGTGTCTTAACACTATCGCCTTTAGGAGGAAGAACTAAGGAGAAAAGGAGAACTAAAGAATGATTGTTGGGGGGCGCCTGGGTGGCGCAGTCGGTTAAGCGTCCGACTTCAGGCAGGTCACGATCTCGCGGTCCGTGAGTTCGAGCCCCGCGTCAGGCTCTGGGCTGATGGCTCGGAGCCTGGAGCCTGTTTCCGGTTCTGTGTCTCCCTCTCTCTCTGCCCCTCCCCCGTTCATGCTCTGAGTCTCTCTCTGTCCCAAAAATAAATAAAAACGTGGAAAAAAAAAATTTAAAAAAAAAAAAAAAAAGAATGATTGTTGGCTGGGACTGGGGCGGGGGGGGGGGGGGGAGGTTGGTTGGGAGGAGACAACATGGCTCAGTCGGTAGAGCATGCGATTCTTGATCTCAGCGTTGTGGGTTTAAGCCCCAGGTTGGGTGTAGAGATTACCTAAAATCTTCTTAAAAAAATGATTGTTGGGTTTCTAGGCTGGATAGGACTTGTGGGTGAGTATTGATGGTATGTCCGTGCTATTGCTGAGGTGGGGAATGTTGGAAAGAATGGACTTGGGAACTGGGAGGAGAAAAGAATGGATTCAACTTTAGATCATGAGCTGCCGTTCAGACAAGAAATTTAGGTAAAACTGCTGATCCTGTGTGGGGTTTAGGAGATCTAAGTCAAGAAAAATAAACGTGAGTGTCTTCAGGACACAGGAGACTACCCTTTGTGGCCTCAGTTGCCCTCAGTTCTTGTTAAGTTGTCCAATTTGGTTTTAATGAGAATGTGAACATTTAGAGAAGGCAACAACAATTTCAACTTAATCCTACTTCTTATTTATAAAATTTAGAAGCAGAAATATGAAGGTTTTCGTCTTTCAAATGACTTCTCATGTGTTTGAGATCATTCTTGTTATCTGAACTAACACAAAACTCCCATGTATTTTCTCCTCATGTCTGTTTGTTACTCTAGGCCCTCATCTATGTGTTTTCTTTTTGTTGCCAGTCGTAAGAACCTCGTTTTAGAGGCAAGACTGATAAGAAGCGATTAAAACCACAAGTCTTATCACACTGTGCCACACTTCATATTTTTGCTTCCATTGGTCACCCTCCAACATGTATATCACCTCCTCCTTCCCCCGCCACTATCTCATATGCATCTTGCTGTCTGAGCTCTCAATCAGTAGATGCCTGCTGATCCAGGGAACGAGAAGTTAGGAGGAAGCAAGTAGCACAAATCTTAGTATAGCAGATTATGTGTTACACTGTATGCCCTGGGTGGTTTTGAACACTGACTGAACAAGCTTCTGTGTGCTGTGTCCTTGCCCTACACATGCATCGTTATTATAAGAGGGCAGGTCTCATCTGCTTACAAGATAAGTGCAATTCCCACTCATTCCGTCTCCCTCCGTGCCAGTCACACGTAGGCATACAAAATTTATCTACTTCCGTTCCTTCAAGTTACACAGCCTATCACAACATGCTGTAGTAATAAACATGTGGAAGCTATTTAAGTTCAGCTAATTTAAGGAGCAGTTACAAGAAAAAGATTTGCCAAAGAGGTCTCTGTAGTGAGCATCTCTCCTAAAATAATTGCTTGGCTTTAAAACATGACATTTGTATACATTTCAAGAATAGAGGCATCTGGAAAGGAGAGGCCTAACAGAGGCTGTGGCGTTCTGGGGAGACATGTTTCTCCTCTCGCTCCTCAGCGGGATCTAGGTGGGTTTCCAATTAGGACAAAGACGGAAAACCAGCAATCAGAAGCAACTTTATCCAAGATTTTTGACCATAGTTACTGCTCATAAACTCAAGGGTTCTACTTGAACTTTTTTTTTTTTTTTTTTGGATGTTGAACAGAAAACACTTAAAGAGTTTCACTTCTATGTTATTGCTTTTGTCATCTGAGTCCATTTCCAGCTCACACTTTAAACTTTTGCTGGCCTCTGGAAAAAAAAACTCATTTTCCATTTTTGCAGTTAAGAGTAAAATTTCATTTACTTACTATAACAACTCAGTTCTAATTGATACTAACACATTTCACGTATATACATTTTGCAGTATGTCTTGGGGAGTTTGGGGAGGGGGGTGTGATGGCAATGCTCAGGTTGTGGTTAAACCACAATGTAGAGAAGCCACCTACCTAGTAAGTGTCCTTTTTTGGATACTTTTTGATGGTGCAGACAGTTCCTTCCACAGCATACATCATGTTTTCCTAAATGTAAATGTTACATGCATCTTCAGGATTTCCTAGCAATTTTAGGCTTTATATATTTACAGCATAAAAAAAGAACAGAAAAACCCAGATCTGTTGGTCAAATGAAGTTTTCCTCTCAAGCATCGTACTACACCTGTGCTGCAAATTTGATGCAAATTTCTCCATAGGTTCAATATAGGAAAGCCTAGGAGACCAAGAATTGCACAGGAAACCAAGAGATGTCAGCTGCCTGGGAGTTCTGCTATGGACTCACCAGGTAACTGATTTGGGCAAAGTCACTGATTCTCCTCACTTACACAGACTGAATTGATCTAAGCTCCCATAGTTATTGTTGGGCACACAAGACTTATGCAAATACCTGGCATACTTTACTATTTATGCTTCCATAACTCGTTATACTTTTAAGGTTTTTTTTTT